GGTGCAGCTTCTCCAGGGGCTGGGTCAGACTTGCACGCTGCCCACATCCAAATGCCAGCAAAGATGAATTGGCAGCACAGCACCCCAGCCACATATACCAGGAAGAAGATGCGGTCAGCAGTCTCAGGCCAGCTCCTCTGTGACCCCTTTACTCCCCTGGGGGGCTCTGTGGGGAAAGAGGCAGGGAAAGAAGTTGTTCTTCAGGGTCCCCCCAACATGATCAGAAGAGTGAACCCCAGGGGTCATCAGCCTATCTTTCCCTTTCTTAGATTCCCAGGTGATATACATTTGGGTCTGACCCATTTCAGGCCATCTTCAGTTGAAGAAACCCCTCTCAGACCGTGGAAGGTATGGGGTTATCAGGGCATTGAGGTCACCTGGGACTAAAGGGAGGCTAAGCTTGCTCCCTGCCCCAGACCTGTTTCTTCCAAGGGAGGAGGACATGATGGTGACCAGGGACAGAAAAGCCAGCAGGGTAAATGCAGGGAGCCTCTACACATGCCTGGAGCCCCTCACCCTCACCCCAGCCCTAGGTGTGCTCCTAGGCCTCATTCCTTACCCCCCAGCCCCTGCCTACCTTCAGGATGAGGCCCTGAGTTGCCATGTTCTCGATGTTCCCCTCTTAGGGCTGGGCTGGGGCTGCTCTTGGCCCCAAAGCTGCCCTTGGCCAGCAGCCCAGCCAGCAGCACAGTCTCCATGGTGCTGAGGAAGAGCAGCAGCAGCAGAATGGTGAAGAAGTAAACTGGGGGAGATAGGGCATGGGGAGATGATCAGAGGCTAGTCCCTGTGTCTCTGGTGCCCAGCCAGCTGAGCACCAGCGGGTGGTGGGGAGAAACAGGGCAGGCCAGGTGAGGGAGCAGGGCTTACTGAGCAGGGGGTTGCAAGAGGAGGAGCTTGGCAGGGCCTCCACCAGGGAGGAGTGGAAGACCAGGTAGCTCAGCAGCAAGGTCACCTTGTAGGCAATGCGCTCAATGGCCCAGAGGGGCAGCAGCCCCCCACACACGTCAGCCAACAGCAGCGCCTCCGCAGGCACCAAGAGAGCAATGATGGACTTGAGTGCCGTGTTCTTCAGGCTCAGCTGGAAAGAGAAAAAGCCAGGGCCTCGCAGGGGGAGGAGGGAGGTGGGCAGCGGGGGCATGGGGCCCGGCCTCTGGCCTTGCCTCATGCCCACCGCCTCCAGCAGCCCTCTGTCAGCCTCCCGACTGGACTCACCGTCACTTTGAAGCAGGGCACCACCTGCTGGGGTGGGACTTGGGTCTTCAGATCATAAACTACATATTCCCTCTTAACACTCACAATCTCGTTCACCGCGTGGGCCTGGAACTCTAATTCCATCACTGAGGGTAGGAATGAGAACTGTGAACTAGGAGGGAGAGATCCCTGCTGCCAAGTTTGGGGGCAGCACATGAGCCCAGGGCAACGGAGACTTCTGATGGCTTCTGGCAGGGACAGACTTGGAGAGAAAACCGATGCATAGAAGGGCTTCCCAAACCTTGTTTCGCAACATCCCAAATTGTCTCCAGTTAAAGGAGGGCCTTTATCAGATTCATAGATGAGCTTTCATTGTAAAAATAAAAGTACTTTGCACCACTTCATAATGGAGGGAGAAGTGGTCAGATTCATCCGTCTGTTTATCATCTCATACCTGAAGTAGGGTCCACAGGGCTATGGCTGTGGTTTCTCATGGAGGGAAGGGGAGGACTTCTCTGTCCAGTTAGATGTCACCCAATGGGTTTATACAGGGTGGCTGCACCTGGTTGTTTCCAGGAGGCAGGCCACAGCAACCAGAGCCTCTGGCCTTGCTGCAAGGGGCCCACGACCATAGGCTGTTGAGGGCAATTGCTCAGGAGGACAGAAGACTGATGTGGCCCAGACTTCTAGGATTGCAGAGCTGCTGCGAATCCAAGTTTGAGTCTGTGACCCTAGAAAGGGGCCCTAAGGCTACCACTGAGCACAGAGGAGATGGGCTGCCACTCAAGTCGGGCACAGTGGGGAGAGCAGGTTCTGCTGCCCCAAGCCTGGGGTAGACTGCTCTAAACACAGAGCTGGGAGCCTTCCTCCTCCCCTCCCCAGCCCTGCAGCCCCTGCCCTGTCAGCACCTGTGTTGCTGAGAGCATAGAAGCTGAGGCTGCAGTTGCTTTGGTCCCGGGGGAAGTGGAGGAGCTCGAAGTCACAGTTGGTCTCTGTGGTGAGGGCCAGGTTGAGCTTCACGTGGCCATCCTGGTCTACTCGGGCCTGTGGGCTCTGGTCCCTCCAGTCTACCCAGAGCCTGTGGAAAAAGGCACCACAGCCAGAGCCCCAGCCCCTTGAACAGGGGCGGGGTAGACCCTGGCATACCACCCCCAACCCCAGGTGCTATCAGAGTTTTGGCAGGGGGAGAGGAACTTGAGGTAGTAGAGGTGCATTGCTAGTCTATCCGAAACCGCCAGGAGGGGCCTCTTCACTCAGATGGCCTCTAGGCTGTAGATAGGGAAAAGGAGGGCTTTGCAGGGCGGATTCCTGGGGCAGGAACTGTCTCACTTACGCCTCCAGGATGGTGAGCCTTGGTGTCCAGAGAGAGTCCCAGGGCATCGTGACAGCATGCTGCGGCTGTGCGCTATTGTTCCAGGCCAGGCGAGTGTCCAGCCAGGACTGGGGACACAAGGGCACCACTGAGGCTACTCTCCACATGTCCATCCCCCTAAGCTCAGCAGGTTGATGAAGCCTGGTACTTCTGAGCTGGACTCAGCTGGGCTTTCCCATCACACCTCCCCAGGGACAGGAGCTCACCAACTTAAGCAGCATCATGGAAGACACTGTGTACCGCAGGATGTCCTGGGAGAAGGGCAGTGCATCACCTCAGGGTGGGCACTGTGTGACAGATCAAGGCAGGAGATCCCAGCACTATCCAGGTCTGAGTCCTGTTCCCTCCCCAGCTCAGCACTTAGGTCCCTTGGCCTAGTGGCACTTACCACGTTAAACACATTGGACACAAACACTTCCACATCCACAAGCAGGGCTGCACTCCCATTGTTCGGAATCTGAATGCTTTCTGAACCTTCTGGGGCAAGTTGAAGTTTAAGAGAGATGGCCAGACTGAGCAATAAAGGTCAAGGTCACTCAGGTGCCCTAGGGCCCAAATCCCAAAGTTTATGACCTTGCCTTCCACCTACTGGCTTCTGGCCCTTGGAAGCCCTCCCCGTGGACCAAGGGTGAGGTGATGCTGAGCCCCAGGAAGGTGAGACGGAGCAGGAGCTGCAGGGCCATCATCGGCTGCACAGAGGGACTGGAGGGAGCAGTGGTGCCTAAGCTACAACCTCTATTCCAGTCACTTCTCTGGCAACTGAGCAATTGGTCAGAGGCAGCTGCTCTGGGCAAGGACCCTGGGGCCTTGGACTTGGCAGTCCCTGCCCAGTTCCGCAAATGCCCAAAGACAAAGCTCAGGACCCAGCCCCACCCACCCTGCACCTGCCTTAGTGTCCCCTTCCCGCTCCATTTCCACCACCTGGAACCTGTTTTGACGCACAATGCCTGCCCAGGGGGACCTGGCAGGCCTAGGACCTCTACCTCTCCCTGACTTTGTCTTTCTAATCAGGGCCCACAGGTGTCCCTGCATTTCAGTGACTGACACCAGCCTGCCTAAGATCCAAACCCTTGGTCAGAGTGTTCTGTGCTCAATGCTGTGAGATAGGGATAGCCTTAAGAGTTTCCCTGCTCTCTTAAACACTGAACTGATTTTATGTTAAGAGCCTTGGTTCAAGAACCCTGGACACGGTGGCTCATGCCTGTAATCTCTGCACTTTGGGATACCAAGGAGGGGGCATTGCTTGAGCCCAGGGGTTCAAGACCAGGGTAACATAGGGAGAGTCTGTCTCTACCAAAAATACAAAAATTAGCTGGGTGTGGTGCATGCACCTGTAGTCCTGAAGCCCAGGAAGTGGAGGTTGCAGTGAGTCGAGATTGAACTACTGCACTCCACTCTGAGCGACAGAGCAAGACTGCCCTCCCCCTACCACACACACCAAAAAAAAAAAAAAGAACTCTGGTAATCTCAGCACTTTGGGAGGCTGAGGCAGGTGGATCACCTAAGGTCAGGAGTTTGAGATCAGCCTGGTCAACATGGTGGAACCTGTCTCTACTAAAAATACAAAAATTAGCCATATTAGCGTTTTTGGTGGCAGATGCCTGTAACCTCAGCTACTCAGGAGGCTGAGGCAGGAGAATCACCTGAACCCAGGAGGCGGATGTTGCAGTGAACTGAGATCATGCCATTGCACTCTAGCCTGGGCAACAAGAGTGAAATTCCATCTCAGAGAAAGAAAAAGGGGAAAAAAACAAAAAAAAAAACAACTCTGGGAAGGGAGTTCTACCTGAAGAAAGGTAAAGGCCAACTCATGAGCAAAGCCCTGGGGCATTCCTGTCCTGAACCGGATTCTCAGCTTGCACCAGCCCAACAGTGCTATGTACCTGGAGCCCAATCTGCCAGGAAAGACTTTGCTGGCCCTCTGGGTGAAATCAGGTCGCCAATGGAGACCTGATCCTGGTCAGCTGCAGCCAGGGAAGGAAAAGCCAAGACCAAAAGTGGGCGGAGACTGGCTGGGCTGCCCAGACTCAAAGGGGCCCTGGGAGCTGGAAGCAGGCAAGGAAGGACCTGTCACACACCAGCTCACGAATCCGATTGGGAACACACGCCTGTGTCTGTCATTGACCGACTTTATTGAACGCCTTAAGCAGTCCGCTTGCCTCTGTCTCACGCATTGGAGGCGACCAGTTTGGCAGTGTAAACATATAGCTGGTGTCACAGGGTGGCCACAGGCAAAAGAGCCTTCGATTGTCCTGTGCTTCCCAGACTCGGATTTTTATGCGGATTGCAACCCGGCTGCCTTAGGTGTGCTCAGCCCTCCTTCCTGGTAGCTCTGCAAAGGGTCCTACATTCACCCCTAGGAAGCCCCTCTGTGAAGCACCAGAGGCTTCTTCTTCCCACGGAGTATGAAGACATTGAGAAACGCGAGGCAGTGCTGTCACTGCATGTGAAATGGTTTATGCCTTTTATTAACAGGCAAAGCTCTCCCCAACAATGGGGATCACAACAATGACTCCAACTCTGTAACATCCAAGCGTGCCCGCTAAGTGCTTTCAGGTCACGTCAACTGTCAGGATGCCGTTGCCTGCCTTTGGGCCCTGCCAGGACAGGCCGGGACCGGGCTCGAGGGTACATGGCTGGGAAGCGCAGGGGCAAGGACTTAGCGGCCCCGCCGCCTCGCTCACGTGCGTCAGGTCGGTGGACTCGCGCTCCATAACGCTGCAGTTGCGGGTGTCCGGCGCGGCAACGCACACGCGGCCCGAGGCTCGGCGTGGGGCACGGCCCAACAGGCCCTCGCAGATCTTGCGGAAGCCTTTGCGGAAGTGCTTGGAGACCAGAGCATAAACGATGGGGTTGACGCAGGAGTTGGCGTAGGAGACCAGGTGCGAGAGGATGCGCAGCGCATAAGTGGCGCGCGTGAGCGGGAAACGGCCGAACCACACGCAAAGGATGAGCGCGTGGTGGGGCATCCAGCAGAGGCAGAAGAGCGCGGCCACGATGAGGATCATGCGCGTCACCTTGCGCTTGGCGCGCCGGGCACCCGAGCCGGCAGCCACCGGGTCGACGGTGCGCCAGAGGTACCTCAGGGTGCGCGCGTAGGTCAGGCCGAGAACCAGCACCGGAAGCAGGTAGCTGAAGACGAAGGTGCAGAGGTCCATGGCGCGGCGGCGAGGCGCGCTCCACGCGGGATGGCACACGGTCAGGTTGGCCAGCTGTGACTGGCGGTAGTAGCTCAGGTAGGGCCCGGAGAAGAGCAGCGACAGCCCCCAGATGAGCCCGATCGCTGCCAGCGCGTTTCGAGGCGTGCGCAGCTCTCGGGAGTGCAACGGGTAGCGGATGGCCAGATACCTGCGTTTAGGAGGGGAAGGGAGACGTCGGCTGAGCTGGCGCATTCACGCTGGCGGGCTCTAGGGCTGCTCTCGAGGAAGGTCCTTAGCTCATGGTTACATCGCACACGCCGGAGATGGAGGTGAGGCTCGGGGTGAGGGTGGAGGCGGGGGCGACCCAGCGCATCCCAGACACTCAGCGGAGCCTGGAGATGGGGCGGGCCGGCAGCAGGAAAGGTGCACCTGCAAATCATTCTCCCGCTGCCCCTGGGGATTGCAACCACAGACGACTCTACCGAGGGGGCACCCCAAAGCCACTGAAGACTAAGGGTTGGAGAACTGGCTGTGGGCTCCTGGAGGCTGTGACTATCCACTAGTGACGGTGCCGCGGGAGGGAGGGAGGAGGGCCCAGGCGCCTGAGGCTCTAGCAGACAGTCTGGAGAAGACATGCTGGGCAAGGGACAATTAGTTTCTCAGGGGATTCCTGAGAGAATCCGAGCTCTGTGGGTCCCACCAGCGAGCTGGGAACCAACGCACTTCGCGCTCAGTGGTTACAGGTGTGTGGGGAAGTCTGGCCTCTCCTCTCTGTTTTTCCGGAGGAGGGAGAGGGGAAGATACCTGGATTTCCTCCCCAGGAACCATCCTAGTGTTCTTTCAAGCTCCACGTGAGCCCCACGCTCTCCCGAATGTGCCTCTCTCGCTCTCCTCTGGGAGAACCCCATGGCACGCTCCTCTCCGGGCCCCTGACTTGTTTTGTTTTGTTTTGTTTGGAGCCAGAGGCGCAGAATGGGCTGGGACTGAATTAGGGACGTTTAGGCACGCTCGCTCAGACTTCTGCATGGGTCCTTTGCGAGGACCCACAGCCTGGACCTGAGCCAACTGTACCAACCAACCAACCAAACTGTGGCTTGGAGGCGAGCGCAGTGGAGGCGCCTGAGCTTGGCTGCAGGAGACAGACGGTCACTTCACGCACCCGATCCCTGGCTGGCGACTCTGAGCTAGTTGCTTAGGAACTCAGCTCTTCTGTACATGGGGCACCTACTTTGTCCCATCCCAACCTCACGGTGTTAGGATCAGAGTTAGGATTAAACTCAGGGTTAGGGTTAGGCTCAAGCTAGAGGAACGCGCGAGAACGCTTCGTACCGGGAAACGCTTCGCGTTGTCAGGCGCTGGCGGCGCCGGAGAGCCACATTCTTCAGGCTTCGAGGCCCCAGGACGCCACTAACCGATGGACAACACGGTCCCCCATCCTAATTCCTCTTTCTTCTCCGCGCCCGCCTGCCTTCCACTGCCTTCTTAATGTCCTCTCCCGCTCTGTGCGTCCCTTCTTGATACCCCGGTACCGCCTCCCTCTCCATCTCCCGCGTGGATGCCCAACTCCCAGGGACGCCAGGACGTTGGCTCACCTGTCCAGGGAGACGGCGGCCAGCGTGAAGCTGCTGGCGTGCATGGTGAGGAAGATGAGGAAGTGCACCGCCTTGCACATCAGCGAGCCGAACACCCAACCGTCCAGCGTGTAGATGGTGGCCTGGAAGGGCACGCAGCACAAGATGAAACACAGGTCGGCCACGCCCAGGTTGAGGATGAACAGGTTGGTGGTGCTAACCGCTTGGCCGCCGCGCAGCAGCACCGCCAGCACCAGCGCGTTGCCCACGGTGCCCACGAGGAAGATGAGCGCGAAGAGCAAGGGCACGATGACCGCCTCTGGGTGCCAGCCGCCCCCGCCGCCGGATTGGCTCGCGTTCCCGGCCCTTGGGCAGCCCGAGACGTTCATGGTGCCGCCGACCCCGAGGCTGCCCAGGCTCCTGCAGCCGTCTGGGTCTCCGCAAGCGGGAAGCTCCCGCGACTGCGGCCGCTGCAGCTCCCAGTGCGACTCCGCCGGGCTGAAGGCGGAGGGAGCCTTGCCGCGTCTGGGGCGGGGATGGGGGTGCGCTGGGGTCAGGAGGAGGAGCAAGAAACCGGAGGGTGATGTTGTCCCCCCGCAGCGGCCGGCGGCTCCGGGGGAAGGGCTGCGGAGTGGCCTCAGCGCACATCCCGTGGAGCGGGTGGAGAACTGCGCTTGGGCCTGCTCTGCGTTCCACCCCCGGAGTCATGGGTTCTGGGCTAACCTGGTGGATTGATTTCCCCGGCAGACGCCGGAGAGGTGGAGGGGTCGACCTCCGGTCCTCCGTGTGTGCCGCACCCCTTGCGACTCGGCGCTTCCCTGAAGCCTGGCAGGCGCGCGGGACGTCCTGGGACCGTCGAGGAACGGGAGTGCCCTCAAAAGAGGACCCCTGGGAGACCAGGGTGAGGAGACACAGGGCGGAGGCGAATGAGGAGCACCGGAGTCTGGCTCTTTTGCTCAGGCTGGAGTGCAGTGGCTCACTGTCTCCTCGGTTCAAACGGTTCTCCTGCCTCTCGGCCTCCTGAGTAGCTGGGACTACAGGCGTCCACCACAGCCTGGGTAGTTTTTTGTATCTTTCTTTAGTAGAGACCAGGCTGTTTCTACTAAATGTCTCATGTTGGCTAGTCTCAAGTGATCCACCCGCCTTGGCCTCCCAAAGTGCTGGGATTACAGGCTGAGCCACCGCACCTGGACACCTTATTCCCTTTGCTTGCTCATTAGACGTTTTCCCTCCAATTCAATATATCGAGCATCTATTGTGTCAGGTCTGTCTTTGGCGCCGTGCCTCAGTTTCCTAAGCTGTAACAAGGAAATGGTAACACTTTCTTCTCAGAGGAATCTGCTAAGAATGGAATGAGAGGTATATGAGAGGCCTGAACCCAGTTGTTTAAATCTAAATACATCAGATCCCTCTGCTTTTTCTCCTCACCTTATTCGGTATACCTTGAGGAAATTCAAAATAGTTGAGTTCCACACACAAGCAGCATTTTCCTGGATGGTATTTAGGTTGCAATAAAACTTAAACATTTGTTTCTGCATCAAGCATTTGGTACAATGAATCATTACTATTTAAGTAGAACTTTAAACCTCCCAGTTCAGTGGGTCTGAAAATCACCATCTTCTGTCTCTGCAGCTTCATGTCTGCCTCACCTTCCCCTGTCCTGCTCCCTGGGGCCCAGTGTCAAGAACATTCCTTTCCTCTTTTTTTCCCCCCAAGGATAGAGCCACTCAGGAGCCCTGCTACCTCCTCTTCTTGGTAAGAAAAACTTATTCACACCCCTGCCCTGCCTGCCTACTCATTGAACAGGAAGATGATAACAGTTGTGTTTATGAGATGCTTACCATTTATTTATTCAACAAATATTTATGAAGCACCTGCTCCTTACCAGGCACTGTTCTGTGTCCTTAGGGTGTACTATACCAGTGAGTTCTACACAGATCCAGGTCCCTTGTGAACTTTCTAGCAACAGAGACAGACAATAAACATAATGTGCTAAGCTACTGCGAGTTGATAAGTACTTACAGTAAAAGTAGTTTAGTGTGAGGGGATTGGGAGGACCAGGATGGTGGTGATCATACGATGTAAAGTAGGGTGGTCAAGCAGACCTCATTAAGTTGACATTTGAGCAAAGTCTTGAAGAAGGTGAGGGGCTAGAAAGGCGGATATTTAGAGGAAGAGCGTTTCTTTTCTTTTCTTTTTTTGAGACAGAGTGTTGTTCTGTCACCCAGGTTGGAGTGCAGTAGCATGATCTCAGCTCACTACAACCTCTGCCTCCAGGGATCAAGCAATTCTCCTGCCTCAGCCTCCTGAGTTTCTGAGACTACAGCTATCCACATGCAGCTGATTTTTTGTATTTTTAGTAGAGTCGGGGTTTCACCACATTAGCCAAGCTGGTCTCTAACTCCCAACCTCAGGCAATCTGCCTGCCTTGGGCTCCCAAAATGCAGGAATTACAGACATGAGCCACCGTGCTCAGACTGTTTTCTTTTTCTAGAGATGGAGTCTCCCTATGTTGCCCAGACTGCTCTCAAACTCATGGGCTCAAGCAATCCTTCCACCTCAGCCTCCCGAAGTGCTGGGATTACAGACATGAACCACTATGCCTGGCCAGAAAAGCATTTCAAAGAGAGAGTACAGCCAGTGCAAAAGCCATACGGTAGGAGTGTGCCTGTGTTCCTGAGGCAAGGAAGCTGGTATGATCTGAGTTGAACCAGCGAGAGACATGAGAGACATAGTGTGTAGGGCTTTTTTTCTCTCCCTAATCTAAGGACTGTGGCATGTAGTCTCAGTAAAATGAGGAGGCAGTGCAGGATTTTCACTAGAGGACCAACATGATCCCACTGTTTTTGGTAACAGCTTTGTTGAAATATAATTCACTTGGTTTTTAGTATATTCACAGAGGTCTGTGGCAGCTGCCACAATCACTTCTAGAACGTTTTCTTCCCACTCATATGTTAGCTGCTAGCCTCCAATCTCCCATCTCCACCTCCACCCCACCTCCACAGGCCCAGACAACCACCGATCTACTTTTTGTCGCTACAGATTTGCCTATTCTTAACATTTCATAGAAATGAAATCATACAATATGTGACCTTTTATATGTGGCTTCTTTCACTTAGCATGATGTTTTCAAAGTTCATCCACATTGTAGCATAACCAGTACCTCACTTTGGGTGTGTGTGTGAGATGGAGTTTTGCTCTTCAAAGGCACAATCTCTGCTTACCGCAACCTCCACCTGCCAGGTTCAAGCGATTCTCCTGCCTCAGCCTCCTGAGTAGCTGGGATTACAGGCATGAAACACCACACTGGCTAATTTTGTATTTTTAGCACAGACGGGGTTTCTCCATGTTGATCAGGCTGGTCTCAAACTCCTGACCTCAGATGATCCTCACCTCGGCTTCCCAAAGTGCTGAGATAACAGGCGTGAGCCACTTTACTCCTTTTTATGATCAAATAATATTCCATTGTATCGTTATACCACATTCTATTTTTCCATTTACTTATCAAGGAACATTTTGGAAACTTGCTTTTTAAAGAAATTTATTTTATTATTTTTAGAGACAGGGTCTTGTTCTGTCACCCAGGCTGGAGTGCAGTGGCATGATCATAGCTCACTGCAACCTCAAACTCCTTCCATATCAGTTTCTCATGTCACCCTTCCATGTCTTCCATGGGGCTCAAGCAATCCCTTCATGTCAGCTTCTCAAGTCCCTGGGACTACAGGTAGGTGCCACTACGTCTGGCTATTTTTTTGGGGGGGCGGGTAGAGACAGGGGTCTCACTGTGTTGCCCAGGCTGGTCTTGAACTCCTGGCCTCAAGCAATCCTCAGCCTCAACCAAAGCACCGTGATTACAGGTCTGAGCCACCACACCTGACCAGACACTTACCTTTTTTTTCTTTTTGAGACAGTCTCAGACCCAGGCTGGATTGCGATCTTGGCTCACTGCAACCTCCACCTCCCAAGTTTTAAGCGCACAGCCTCCCAAGTCGCTGGGATTACAGGCACCCGCCACCACACCCAGCTAATTTTTGTATTTTTAGTGGAGACCGGGTTTCACCCTGTTGGCCAGGCAGGTCTGGAACGCCTGACCTCAGGTGATCCGCCTGCCTCGGTCTCCTAAAGTGCTGGGTTAACTACGCCCGGCCTCAGACACTTACTTTAAAATGCATCATTTAATCTTCATAACAATCATTTAAATTGGTTATCCCCATTTCATAGATGAAGAAACAGGTTTACCGGGAGATTAAGTTACTTGCCCAATATCTGCCTGCCGCTAATGACAGAGCGGGAATTGGAATCCCAGGTCTCAGACTCTAGAAGCTGCAGAGCAAAAATTCGTATTTTCCCTTGTCTCAACACTTCTCCCTCTTTGGACTGATCGCCCCAAAGTGCAGGGGTCCACAGTCCCAAGCGGTCTGAGAAAGTCCCCCCATTAGGGACACCGTCTGCTGACTGCGAAGCGCTTCCTCCGGCTTCGCTTTCTCACGGTCAGCCCCAGAGGAAAGGGCAGGCAGAGGCAGCTCCCTTACAGACGGGGAGTTCCGTTCCTGTAGGGGGAACCCCACCTCTTAAGTCCCTGGGGATGAAATCCAGTGTCTTTGGTCTCCTGCTTTCTGCTGGGCGGGACGTGAGCCAGTTCCCCAGCCCAGGATGCAGGACGTGGGGTCCACCTCCGGTCCTCCCACCCTTGGTTTCCTTGATTTGTGAGGTGGGACTGCCCCTGAGATCTCAGCAACCGCGGTCTCACTGCGGCCGCGAGCCCCCGTCTAGACCTCCACGATTCCGGACTCCGGATGCCCGGACTCCTCGCGCAGGCGCGCTCCAGCGAATGGCTCCCCGCTGCTGCAAGGGCCGACCGCGGCGGAGTCCGCCGCTATCCCATCAGCCCGGCCAGACAGGTCCCGCTCTCACCCGCCCGGGTCTTCCTGCCTCTCCTATCCCATCCTGCTCTGCGGCGCGGGGGCAAGATGGCTGCTGAGAAGCAGGTCCCTGGCGGCGGCGGCGGCAGCAACAGCAGCAGCAGTGGTAGTGGCAGCGGCGGTGGACGTGGTGCCGGAGGGGAAGAAAATAAAGAAAACGAACGTCCTTCTGCCGGATCGAAGGCAAACAAAGAATTTGGGGATAGCCTGAGTTTGGAGAGTATCCTAGAGTAATCGGGCCTAACACGGAATGACTACGTGTCGATCTGGAGGGCTGGGGGCCGGAGAGACGGCGGGTCCCGGCACATCCTGGCTGGAGAGGCCGAGGGTTGCAGTGTTTCTCGCCCTTACTTTTTGGCGCTCAGAGTTCCGGGGGCTCTGTTTCTCAACTAGTCTTTCCTCGCGTCCCCTCGCCCTCCTAGCTAGGTCCTTTTCTTCCAGTGGCACTGGCATATCAGGCAGGTTTTTCCAGGTGACACTATAGCCTCCCCTCTGAGCTCCTGCTTTGGCACCTTGAGCCACTGAACTGGGGAAAGGAAACTGCAGTCTTGACATTTCGCTTAATAATTTTGTCTGACAGTCGTCGCAGACTGAGTAGTAAAACCTACAGGTTGATACTTTGAAAGTGAAGGTAAAGATTGATTCCTAGGAAAAGCTTGTGGTCCATTTTGATTATAAGTTACCGTAATTAATATCGTTTGTGTCATTTTTTTTCTGATGGATCTGTAGGCATTTTGTCGTGATGAGAGTCATTAATATAAGCTAGGGGAATCGGTTTTCTGGTTTTCATCAGTGTGTATCTACCTTAACTGAGTGCTAGTGGTACTGTTTGTGGCCCTTTGAAATGAGTAACAAATGGAGAAAATGTAGGTGAGTTTCTGAAATAACATATTGAGCTTGACATCTTAATGTACTTAAAGTTTTCAGGGGTTTAGAGTTAAATTTTTAGAATTAGTGGTAATAGTTTCAAGCAGATGTTAGCAAGCCCTAATTTTACTGAGAACCTTATTAGTCATTTTTTGTCCCTTTTTAGTCATTGAGAGAGTCCTTTTAGTGTTCACTCTTTTATTTATTTATTTATTTATTCCTTTCTATGGCAAGATACTGAAAGTACAGTGTTCACTATTTTAAAATGTCTCTAGAGAAGCATTAAGGAAACATTAGAAGAACTATAACTATAATAGATGTAGATCATTGGACTTTCTAAAGTTTAGTACCTAATCTTAAATATTTTCAGATTCTTAAAAGGAGAGTTTGGTCAGTTGTTCTTCTTTTAAAAGAAAAACCTTAGTACTTTTATGCAAACTGTGGCCTAGCTTGGTTGACATATGCCAATCATAGACTCTCTAAGCATCATCGCTGTTAAGGAAAGGTAGATTTGGCAGGTGTTGGAGATTATGCAAATGGAGGCTTACTACATGTCATTTATAACCTGAATCTGTTTCAATGAATAAAATATGGGGTCTAGGTGTAAATTGGTGTGAACCACCCCATTTATAGTCAATATTTAGAATCCAGCAGCTTAATTTAAACTGGGTTTTGCCAGTGGCCAGTAGTGCTCTCCTTCTTTAGTTTGAAAGTAGTGACAGTTTAGGCAATTAGTTTTTCTGTAGCTTAGCCTTGTTCTCTGCCATGATAGATATTGAAAATGGTTACAAAAGATCTCACTCACTAACCTACTAAATGTTTAATGTGTTGTGGTTTGACACAAATAGAGACTGGTGGTACAGGTTTTGGTTTGTTTGGATTCTTGCTGTTGTAAGATTTTCCTTAATCCTGACTCTAGTTCTTCAGATTATTAAGGAATCCCAGCAGCAGCATGGTTTACGGCATGGAGATTTTCAGAGGTACAGGTTAGTATCACATACAAGATGTATGGAAATCACTGTGGGACTTCTTTGCTTTTGTTAATATCCTGTTTGCTATATCAGAAAATATACCTAGAAAGTCTAGCATTTTTCTTTTCTTTTTTTTTTTTTTTTTTTTTGGTATGGAGTCTCACTGTCACCCAAGCTGGAGTACAGAGGTGCAATCCTGGCTCACTGCAGCCTTTGCCTCCCGAGTTCAAGCAATTCTCCTGCTTCTGCCTCCCTGGTTCAAGGGATTCTTCTGCCTCAGCTTCCTGAGTAGCTGGGATTACAGGCTTGTGCCCCCACAATTTTTGTATTTTTAGTAGAGATGGAGTTTCACCATGTTGGCCAGACTGATCTTGAACTCCCGACCTCAGGTGATTCGCCTGCCTTGGTCTCCCAAAGTGTTGGGATTACAGGCATGAGCCACTGCGCATGGCCTAGCACTGAGTTTATACTGAATTCTCAAAATATATGTAATTTTTAAATTTAAAATTTTATGAATAGGCTGGGTGCAGAGGCTCAACGCCCGTAATCCCAGCACTTTGAGAGGCCGAGGTGGGCAGATCACCTGAGGTCAGGAGTTTTAGACCAGCCTGGCCAACATGGTGAAATCCCATCTCTACTAAAAAATACAAAACTCAGCCGGGCATGGTAGCAGGCATCTGTAATCTCAGCTACTTAGGAGCTGAGACAGGAGAATCGCTTGAGCCCTGGAGGCGGAGGTTGCAGTAAGCCAAGATTGTGCTACTGCACTCCAGCCTGGGCAACAGAGCAGAGATGGTATTTTACTAGAGAGCATTTTTAGTAGAGATGGGGTTTTGCCACGTTGGCCAGGCTGGTCTTGAACTCCTGACCTCAGGTGATCTACCTGCCTTGGCCTCTCAAACTGCTAGGATTACAGGAGTGAGTCACCCTGCCTGGCCTAATTTTTGTATTTTTAGTAGACATGGGATTTCACCATGTTGGCTAGGCTGGTCTTGAACTCCTGACCTCAAATGATCTGCCCGCCTTGGCCTCCCAAAGTGCTGGGATTACAGGCGTGAGCCCCCACACCCAGCTAAAGATCTTTTTTTTTTTTTGAGATGCAGTTTCTCTCTTATTACCCAAGCTGGAGTGCAATGGCGCGATCTCGGCTCACCGTGACCTCCGCCTTCTGGGTTCAAGCAATTCTCCTACCTCAGCCTCCCGAGTAGCTGCAACTACAGGCTGCACCACCACACCCAGCTAATTTTTGTACTTTTTAGTAGAGACAGGTTTCACCATGTTGACCAGGATGGTCTTGATCTCTTGACCTCACTAGGTGATCCACCCGCCTTGGCCTCCCAAAGTGCTGGGATTATAGTCGTGAGCCACCACGCCTGGCCCCCAGCTAAAGATCTGAATAAATGGATTCATACTTCTCACTGGACCCTCCAGAGTTTTTTGTTGTTGTTAAAAATAGATTCATACTGTGAGAAATTTTTTACCAATTTTTATTTCTGCTCGTAATGTATGAGTGTTTCATTTGACTTTTATGTAAAAGGGTAAATAATACCTAAAACTGCTATTAGGGGTTGAGAGAAAAAAGCCAGTTCATAAATTGAACCTAGACTATTATTTCATTTATTTATTTACTTACTTACTGAGACACAGTCTCATTCTGTCACCCAGGCTGGAGTGCAGTGATGCTGTCTCGGTTCACTGCAACCTCCGCCTCCCGGGTTCAAGCGATTCTCCTGCCTCAGCCTCCTGAGTAGCTGGGCCTACAGACGTGTGCCACCAAACCCTGCTAATTTGTGTATTTTTAGTAGAGACGGGGTTTCAGTATGTTACCCCTGACCTCATGATCCACACACCTCAGCCTTCCAAAGTGCTGGGATTACAGGCATGAGCCACTGTGCCCAGCCTATTTATTTATTTTTATTTCATTTTATTTATTTATTTGAGACAGTCTCATTCTGTCTCCCAGGGTGGAATGCAGTGGTGCAATCTTGGCTTACTGCAACCTCTGCCTTCTGGGTTCAAGCAATTCTCCTGCCTGAGCCTCCCAAGTACCTGGGACTATAAGCATGCACCGCCATGACTGGCTAATTTTTGTATTTTTGTAGAGATGGGGTTTTACCACGTTGGTCAGGCTTGTCTGGAACTCCTTACCTCAAGTGATCTGCCCTCCTTGGCCTCTCAAAATGCTGGGATTACAGGTGTGAGCCACCATACCCGACTCCCTGAAGTAGTATTTAAATATTATTTTATATACCATATTACTTTGACTTAAAGCTTGGTTTGATTTTATATATATATAATTTTTTTTTCTGATTTAGTCAAAATGTGTATATTAATTGAACATCTGTGTGCTAGACACTGTTCTAAGTCATTACAGAAAATTTAGAAATGAAATCCTAGCCTGGTGTGGTGGCACATGCTGTATTGCCAGTTACTTGGGAGGATGAGGCCCAAGAATTGCATAAGCCCAAGAGTTCGAGAGCAGCCTGGGCAACAGAAACATGGTGAGACTCTGTCTCAAAAAAATAATTCTTCCTGCAATAAAAAGGATTTATATTAGTAGGCAACTATGTGAGAACATAATTATAATGTCACACACTGTAATAGAAGGAAGAATAAAGAGGTACTTGAGGCCGGGTGCAGTGGTGGGCGCTTGTAATCCCAGCTACTTGAGAGGCTGAGGCAGGAGAATCATCATTTGAACCTGGGAGGTGGTGGTTGCACCACTGCACTCCAGCTTGGTGACAGAGTGAGATTTCATCTCAGAAAAAAAAAAGCTACATGAGCACAGAGGAACAGGCTTGGCATAGAGGTGACGTTTATAGTGCTTCTTGGCAATAACCTAATTGGCTTCCTTATTTTTCTTCAAATTTGCATGCAGTTCTTTCTCCATGTGTCTGGTGTCGTTCTAGTCTCCTTCAGGATGCCCCTTTCCCTGCTTTACATTCATTAGAATCCTCCTCATTCTTTTTTTTTTTTGAGACAGTCTCACTCTGTCGCCTAGGCTGGAGTACAGCGTCACTATCTCAGCTCACTGCAACCTCCACCTCCCGAGTTCAAGCAATTCTCTGCCTCCCCAGTCACTGGGATTACAGGTGCCTGCCACTGTGCCCAGCTAATTTTTGTGCTCATCTTCTTGACCAGGATGGTCTTGAACTTCTGACCTTGTGATCCACCTACCTTAGCCTCCCAAAGTTCTGGGATTACAGGCGTGAGCCACCGCGCCCAGCCCCTCATTCTTTCTAGGCCCCACCATCAGTCTACTGCAGCCGAAGGTGCTAACAAGAGAATGATTACTCATGTCCATTCAATTGACATTGCCTTGTTTTCTTGGTTGCCATTGTCTCTGCATGATCATCCTCAACTTTAATGTGGGTTCCTTGAGCATGGGCACTATGTCCCCCATCTCCTTGTGTTTCCTATAATACCAATCATATGCCCGCCCCCCCATGTTTGAGTTGTTCAATAAATGTTTAGGGCTGGGCACAGAGGCTCATGCTTGTAATCCCAGCACTTTGGGAGGCTGAGGTGGGTGGATCGCTGGAGTCCAAGGACTTTAAGACCAGCCTGGGCAACATGGTGAAACCCTGTCTCTGCAAAAAGTACAAAAATTAGCCAAGTGTGGTGGTTGCACCCTTGTAGTCCCAACTACTCAGGAGGATGAGGTGGGAGAATTGATTGAGCCCAGCTGTAGTGAGCCAAGATCGCAACACTGCACTCCAGTCTGGGTGACAGAGCAAGACTCTGTCTCAAAAAAAAGGAAAAGAAAAAAAGTTTGGAAGCTGATATGTGATAATTATAGTAACAGTAAGTATAATACCCCAAACTGTTGACCCTTGACCTTGCCTTATTACATAATTTATTATTCAAAATAGTCTCAGCTTGGCTGAGTAAGTATTGTTTGTGGTTTCTTACAGGGGCTACTGTTCCCGTAGACAAAGACGTCTTCGAAAAACACTCAACTTCAAGATGGGGAACAGACACAAATTCACAGGGAAGAAAGTGACCGAAGATCTTCTAACTGATAATAGGTAATGACTGCTCTGTGCTAGTTGCAGATTACATCCTGCTAATGCATTTATTGAGCAATCACAATGTCCTAGACTTCACACTAAACCTTTTAATTATCTCTGGTGACTCTTTTTTTTTTTTTTTTTTGAGACAGAGTTTCGCTCTTGTTACCCAGGCTGGAGTGCAATGGCACGATCTCTGCTCACCTCAACCTCCGCCTCCTGGGTTCAGGCAATTCTCCTGCCTCAGCCTCCTGAGTAGCTGGGATTACAGGCACACGCCACCATGCCCAGCTAATTTTTTTTTTTTTTGTATTTTTAGTAGAGACGGGGTTTCACCACGTTGACCAGGATGGTCTCAATCTCTTGGCCTCCCAAAGTGCTGGGATTACAGGTGTGAGCCACCACGCCCGGCCCTCTCTGGTGACTCTTTCAGCAGCTCTGTGGGGTGGGCATTGTTTACTCTTCCTGTGTTCTAGGGCAAGGAAACTGAGGCTCAGAGAGGTTCAGTAGCTTGTTCAAAAACTGTGTTGGGGCTGGACACAGTGGCTCACACTTGTAATCCAAACACTTTTGGAGGCCAAGGCGGGTGGATCACTTGCAGTCAGAAGTTCAAGGCCAGCCCGGCCAATATGGCAAAACACTATCTCTACTAAAATGCAAAAATTAGCCAGGTGTGGTGGTGGGCATCTGTAATCCCAGCTGCTCTGGAGGCTGAGGTAGGAGAATAGCTTGAACTTGGGAGGCAGAGGTTGCTGTGAGCTGAGATTGCGCCATTGCATTCCATTCTAGGCAATAAGAGTGAAATTCCATCTCAAAAAAAAGAGAGGTGATTCCCTCTCTCAGCTTTGGAGCTCCCACCCTCTGTCTCTGTACAGGGAAGTTTCTTCCTTCTCCCTTTGCCCCTTCTTGCCTATTAAACTCTTTGTTCCTTAAAAAAAAACCAGAACCAGAACTATGTTGGGATGGCAAATGTTGAAGTCAGTGATTAGAATCCAATTGATTATTATGTAAGGTTTCTAGAATGTAAATTCCAATGCCTAAAACTAGGGGCTTAAATCAATATATATATATTTTTTTTGAGATGGAGTCTTGCTTTGTTGCCAGGCTGGAGTGCAGTGGTGCAATCTCGGCTCACTGCAACCTCTGCCTCCTGGGTTCAAGCGATTCTGCCGCCTCAGCTTCCTGAGTAGCTGAGACCACAGGTGCGTGCCACCACACCCGGCTAATTTTTGTATTTTTAGCAGAGACGGGGTTTCACCATATTGGCCAGGATGGTCTCCATCTCTTGACTTCATGATCCGCCCGCCTCATCAGCCTCCCAAAGTGCTGGGATTACAGGCGTGAGCCACCACACCGGCCTTAAACCAATATATCTTAATGAAATTGAGTGGTGTGTAATTTTTTTTTTTTTTTTTTTTTTTTTTTGAGACAGAGTCTTTCTCTGTTGCCTAGGCTGGAGTGCAGTGGTGTGATCTCGGCTCACTGCAACTCCCACCTCCCAGATTCAAGTAGCTGGGATTACAGTCACGTGCCACCACACCAGCTGAGTTTTGTATTTTTAGTAGAGATAGGATTTCACCAGGTTGGTCTCGAGCTGATCCACCCACCTTGGCCTCCCACAGTGCTGGGTTTATAGGTGTGAGCTGCCATGCCTGGCTGGTGTGTGAATTATCATAGGAGAGCCCTGTATTTCAGTGCTGAATGCACCAGTGCTTAGCATTTCCAGAAGAATTTTAGTTTGTCAAGCAACATATAGTGAAGGTCTCCAGGTCTTCCTCACACTTATGGGCCAAATTATGCTCCTGCCACCTTTTGTGTAAATGAAGTTTTATTGGAACCCAGCCACACTCATTTACATAGGCATTGTTTATAGCTACTTTTGTGCTACATCAGCAGAGGAGTTGTGACACACGAGGTACAGGAGAGGAGGCATGGTCCTTGAACCTTATTGACTTTCATCTTGTTGAAAGATGTTGGTCAATGCAAACCAGGGAATGCTACAGCAGAAGTGCCATGTTGTGTATCATTTACTGTTCAGCATTCTGAAGCCTTGGAAAGGAGACTTGAGGTTGAAGGCTCTTGACAGGGAAGTCAGTAAGCCTGCATGGAGGAGGCTTGACCTTGAAGGATTCGCAAGAGTTAAGAACATCCTGTGTCTGGGGAAACAGCATGCTCTGGTATCTGTGCATGCGGTCTAGGAACTGGAAAGCTCTGGACACTTGCTAGCTGCTACTCAGGCAGTGAAAAGGCTGTGAGCTTGGTGTGTAGGCCACAGTCAGAAAACTAGAGCCTGGAGACCATCATAGGATGCATCATTAAATCTGATGAGAACACCAGTTAGGAGAAATCTCTCTTGCCCCTTTTTTTGAGACAGTCTCACTGTCACCCAGGCTGGATGGAGTGCAGCAGTGGGATTATAGCTTACTGCAGCCTTAAACTGCTCCTGTGTCACCCTCTTGAGTAGCTGGGACTAAAGTCGTGTACCACCATGCCTACCTAACTTTTCTCTTTTTTTTGTTTTGTAGAGATGGGATCTTGCTATGCTGACCAGGCTGGTTTCAAACTCCTGGCCTCAAGCATTCCTCCCACCTCAGCCTCCCAATGTGCTGGGATTACAGATATGAGCCACTACACCATGGCTGTACTCCCTTATGATCTCAAGATCCTTTACTGTGAAGAGTCAAGGCTAAGCTGAAGTTTAAGACAGATTGATGAAGGCAGCAAAGAAAGATTCACCTCTATAATAATAAAGTAGTTAAGTAACTTATTGAGCTTAGTAAGTGCCAGGCTCCGGTCTAAATGTGTTATTTCTATTACTGCATGGGAGAGTGGTGCAGAGAAACGTTTGTACTTTGCCCACAGTCACGCAGCTAGTAAGTGGTGGCACTGGGGTTCTAACCCAGGCTCTGGAGCTCTTTTGCTCATCACCACTTTAATACACTGCCCCCCCCCTTTTTTTTTTGAGACGGAGTCTCACTGTTGCCCAGACTTCAGTACAGTGGCACCATCTCGACTCACCACAACCCCTGCCTCCTGGGTTCAACCTCAGCCTCCCCAGAAGCTGGGATTACAGGCATGTGCCACAATACCCAGCTAATTTTTTTTTTTTTTTTTGAGACGGAGTTTCACATGTTACCCAGGCTGGAGTGCAATGGCACGATCTCTGCTCACCGCAATCTCTGCCTCCTGGGTTCAAGCAATTCTCCTGCCTCAGCCTCCCAAGTAGCTGGTACTATAGGTGTGTGCCACCATGTCCAGCTAATTTTTGTATTTTTAGTAGAGACGGGGTTTCACCATATTGACCAGGATGGTCTCGATCTCTTGACCTCGTGATCCACCCGCCTCGGCCTTCCAAAGTGCTGGGATTATAGGCGTGAGCCACTGCACCCAGCCAATTTTTGTATTTTTTAGTAGAGATGGGGTTTTATCATGTGGACCAGGCTTGTCTCAAGCTCCTGACCTCAGGTGATCTGCCCGCCTTGGCCTCCCAAAGTGGTGGGATTACAGGTGTGAGCCACCATGCCCAGTAAATATACTGCTTTTTTTTTTTTTTTTTTGAGACCAAGTTTCGCTCTCCTTACCCAGGCTGGAGTGTAATGGCGCAATCTCGGCTCACCGCTACCTCCGCCTCCTGGGTTCAGGCAATTCTCCTGCCTCAGCCTCCTGAGTAGCTGGGATTACAGGCGCGTGCCACAACGCCCAGCTAATTTTTTTTTTTTTTGTATTTTTAGTAGAGACGGGGTTTCACCATGTTGACCAGGATGATCTCGATCTCTTGACCTCATGATCCACCTGCCTCGGCCTCCCAAAGTGCTGGGATTACAGGCTTGAGCCACCGCGCCCGGCCTGCTTTTTTTTTTTTTTTGAGATGGAGTATCGCTCTTGTTGCCCAGGCTTGAGTGCAGTGGTGCGATCTCCACTCACTGCAACCTCTCCCTCCTGGGTTCAAGCAATTCTCTAGCCTCAGCCTCCCGAGTAGCTGGGATTATAGGCACCCACCACCATGCCCAGCTAATTTTTGTATTTTTAATAGAGACAGGGTTTCACCATGTTGGCCAGGCTGGTCTCGAATGCTTGACCTCAGGTGATCTGCCCACCCAGACCTTTTAAAGTGCTGGGATTACAGGCATGAGCCACCGTGCCCGGCTTAAGGACTTTTCTAACTGGGTTGAGATGAAGGAGGTGTTGATTCAAAGATGAGGCCAGATAGTGTGCCTGGACTGTGTCTGACAGAATTTAGGAGGGGTAGGTCACAATTCTGGGTTTGCCGAGTTCGAGGCAATAGAGGCTTTTCAATGAGATATGTCCGGTAGATGATAAGAAACCTGAGTTGAGTCCAGGTTGCGAATACAGATACTGGTTTAGAGTCGCAGCTAATAATGCCAGAAGAGTTGTTTTGAGAGTGGCAAAAGAGGGAGAGTATAAAAAAAGTTGAGAAGCTGAAGATTCCACCTCAGAAAATATCTGGGTCTGCTGATGGCCTTTATTGTCTCCCCTCGTCTGTCTCTCATCTAGATACTTGCTTCTGGTTCTGATGGATGCTGAAAGAGCCTGGAGCTACGCAATGCAACTCAAACAGGAAGCCAACACTGAACCCCGAAAACGGTTTCACTTGTTATCTCGCCTACGCAAAGCTGTGAAGCATGCAGAGGAATTGGAACGCCTGTGTGAGAGCAATCGTGTGGATGCCAAGACCAAGTTAGAGGCTCAGGTTAGTGCCTTAACATCCAGCTTGTTTTATTGTGGAGAATCAAGACATTTTAATTAATTAATTTATTTTCAGAGACGGGGTTTCACCTTGTTGGTTAGGTGGTTTTGAACTCCTGACCTCAGGTGATCCACCCACCTCAGCCTCCCAAAGTGCTGGGATTACAGGTGTGAGCCACCACACCTGGCCTCATGATGTTTTAAAAAGCTACAGTTAAACAAAACAGAGTTTCTTAATGTTAGAAAGTGATAGAAGAGGAAAAAACTTTACTTGCTTTTAAAAGGTGAAGTTACTCTTTCCCCAAGCGGCCTGAGGTAATCTGTGAAAATGGTTCGCTATTCAGTTGATCCGGAGAACCCCACAAAGTCATGCAAATCAAGAGGTTCCAATCTTCGCGTTCACTTTAAGAACACACGTGAAACTGCCCAGGCCATCAAGGGTATGCATATACGAAAAGCCACGAAGTATCTGAAAGATGTCACTTTACAGAAACAGTGCGTACCATTCCGACATTACAATGGTGGAGTTGGCAGGTGTGCCCAGGCCAAGCAGTGGGGCTGGACACAAGGTCGGTGGCCCAAAAAGAGTGCTGAATTTTTGCTGCACATGCTTAAAAATGCAGAGAGTAATGCTGAACTTAAGGGTTTAGATGTAGATTCTCTGGTCATTGAGCATATCCAAGTGAACAAAGCACCCAAGATGTGCCGCCGGACTTACAGAGCTCATGGTCGAATTAACCCATACATGAGTTCTCCCTGCCACATTGAGATGATCCTTACTGAAAAGGAACAGATTGTTCCTAAACCAGAAGAGGAGGTTGCCCAGAAGAAGAAGACATCCCAGAAGAAACTGAAGAAGCAAAAACTTATGGCATGGGAGTAAATTCAGCCTTAAAATAAATGCAACTAAAAGGAAAAAAAAAAAAAAAAAAGGTGAAGTTAGCATCTTTTGTTTATAAGCTCTTGATTTTTTATGGTTTTTTTTTCTTTTATTGAGACGGAGTCTTGCTCTGCTGCCCAGGCTGGAGTGCCATGTGGCACAACCTTGACTCACGGCAACCTCTGCCTACTGGGTTCGAGCAATTCTCCTGCCTCAGCCTCCCAAGTAGCTAGAATTACAGGCACATGCCACCACACCCAGCAAATTTTTTTGTGTTTTTAGTAGAGATGGGGTTTCACCATGTTGGCAAGGCTCCTGACCTCAGCCTCCCAAATTGCTGGGATTACAGGTGTGAGCCACCGCTCCCAGCTTTTTTCTTTTCTTTTTTTTTTGAGATGGATTTTCACTCTTGTTGCCCAGGCTGGAGTACAGTGTTGTGATTTCAGCTCACCACTATCTCCACCTGCCGGGTTCAAGTGATTCTCCTGCCTCAGCCTCCCAAATAGCTGAGATTACAGGCATACGTCACCACACCTGGCTAATTTTGTATTTTTAATAGAGACAGGGTTTTTCCATGTTGGTCAGACTGGTCTCGAATTCCCAACCTCAGGTGATCCGCCCACCGTGGCCTCCCAAAGTGCTGGGATTACAGGAGTGAGCCACTGAGCCCAGCCTTATATATATTTTTTTAACTGGGCAATGCTTCATTCCATAAAATAGAATGAGTATTCCCAAGCTCTTGCTTTTTATAACTAGCTATAACTTTTTTTTTTCGAGATGGAGTCTTGCTTTGTCACCCATGCTGGAGTCTGGAGTGCAGTGGCATGATCTTGGCTCACTGCAACCTCTGCCTCCCAGGTTCAAGAAATTCTTCTGCCTCAGCCTCCCAAGTAGCTGGGATTACAGGCACATGCCACCACGCCTGGCTACTTTTTGTATTTTTAGTAGAGAGAGGGTTTCACCATGTTGGCCAGGCTGGTCTCGAGCTCCTGACCTCGTGTTCCGCCCACCTCGACTTCCCAAAGTGCTGGGATTATAGTCATGAACCACCACACCTGGCCAACAAGCTGTAACTTTTTAAGAAAGGTCATGTTTTGCTATATAGAATTAAAGCTTACATCTTGTACCTGGAAAAGTTCACAAAGTAAGAACTTTTTTTACAAATGAATTTTTTAAAAAAGAGATGGTAGATATTGCAAGGTTTTATTCAACTTCTAATGCTTATAGCCCAGAAAATGGTTGTTAAGCAAAATGAAGAAACCAGATTTCCTTCTTTTGAAGTTCTCTCCTGGGAAGTGAATGAATCATAAATTGCCTGTGTATCAATTTTATTGGTTAAATACGTATTTCTTTTTAAAAATCAACCTGTGATTAATATATCCATATTATTTGGGTTTTTTGTTTTTTAGCGACAGAGTCTCGTTCTGTCCCAGGCTGGAGTGCAGTCATGGCTCACTGCAGCCGTGAACTTCTGGGCTCAAGCAATCCTCCTGCCAAGGCCTCCTGAGTAGTTGGGACTAGAGGGGCATGCCACCATACCTTGCTAATTTTTTTTTTTTTGAGATGGAGTCTTGAGTATCAATCTGTTGTCCAGGTTGGGTTGCAGTGGCACAATCGTAGCTTACTGCATCCTCTGCCTCCCAGGTTTAAGCAATTCTCCCGCCTCAGCCTCCTGAGTAGCAGGGATTACAGGTGCCTGCCACCACACCTGGCTAATTTGTTGTATTTTTAGTAGAGATGGATTTTCATCATGTTGGCCACCCTGGTCTCCAACTCCTTATCTCAGGTGATCGGCTTACCTTGACCTTCCAAAGTGTGGGGTTATAAGCGTTAGCTACCCGGCCCGGCCACACCCGGCTAATCTTTAAAAATTTTTTGTAGAACTGTGGTCTTGCTGTGTTGCCCAGGCTAATCTCGAACTCTTGAGCTAAAGCAACTCTCCTGCCTCAGCCTCCCAAATTGCTAGGATTACAGGTGTGAGCCCCCATGCCCAGCCAATATCCTTGTTCTTTTTCTTCTTTTTTAAAATTTATTTTTATATTTATTTATTTAGAGATGGAGTCCCACTCTCTTACCAGGCTGTAGTGCAGTGGTACAATCTTGGCTCACTGCAACCTCTGCCTCCAGGTTCAAGCGATTCTCTTGCTTCAGCCTCCCAAGTAGCTGGGACTACAGGCACGTACCACCACACCCAGCTAATTTTTGTATTTTTAGTAGAAATGGGATTTTACCATGGTGGCCAGGATGGTCTCGATCTCTTGACCTCATGATTCACCTGCCTCGGCATCCCAAAGTGCTGGGATTACAGGCATGTGCCACCTCGCCCAGCCAATTTTTAATTTTATTTTTGATAGAGACAGGGTCTTGTTATATTGCCCAGACTTGTCTTGAACTGTGGGTTCAAGCGATCCTCCCACCTTGGCCTCACAAAGTGCTAAAATCAGAGGTGTGAGCCACTGTGCCTGGCCAATATCTGTATTCTTGATATTAAAGTTAGAAACCAATGAAGGAAGATTGAGTGGTTTGGTGATGAAGCATTTCCTCTTCTTCTATCTCCTCACAGGCTTACACAGCTTACCTCTCAGGAATGCTGCGTTTTGAACATCAAGAATGGAAAGCCGCCATTGAGGCTTTTAACAAATGCAAGTAAGTCCTGTAGTCCAAAGGCTGTGGCCAGTTTTAATTATAGATAGTCAATTTTAAGCTGCAGATCAGGTAGTGGATTATTTCTGTGAAAGTGAGGGTGACTTTTCTTTCCTATAGAAATGTTGATGATTCTCTTTCATCTTGAGAGCATGCCAGTTATGACAGCTGTTAGAAGAGCTTCAAAGGGCCATAATTTGTTTTTAGTCACTGTGTTCCCCATGAGTTTTTCTTTTATACAGCTGATGTAAAACCTGACTTTTCTTTTCTCTCAGAACTATCTATGAGAAGCTGGCCAGTGCTTTCACAGAGGAGCAGGCTGTGCTGTATAACCAACGTGTGGAAGAGATTTCACCTAACATCCGCTATTGTGCATATAATATTGGTGAGCAGGGATCAAGGCATTATACTCAACTTGAGCTTTGACAGGTGGCCTAGTGTGAGTTCATTTCAGAGATCCTAGAGAGTTGACATAACTTTCTTCTCCTTCCCTTGCCTCCATCTTTGGCCTGAGTTTTGGTTGATGGCAAAAGCAGAACGGTTGAAGCCAACTCAGCTCAAAATTACAGAAGATAGTTCTGCTTCTGTGTCTGTCCTGCTGTGCTGTGTACCCCTGAAGAGCAGTCTTGAGTCTCCTGAGTCTCTGGCTGAGTTCGTTTTTTACCTTTTTTTTTTTTGAGACGGAGTTTTGCTTCTGTTGTCCAGGCTGGAGTGTAATGACGTGATCTTGGCTCCCAGGTTTAAGTGATTCTCCTGCCTCAGCTTCCTGAGTAGCTGGGCTTACAGGCATGTGCCACCATGTCCAGCTAATTTTTTTTTTTGTATTTTTGGTAGAGACGAGATTTCTCCATGTTGGTCAGGCTGGTCTCAAACTCCCAACCTCAGGTGATCTGCCCGCCCCAGCCTCCCAAAGTGTTGGGATTATAGGCGTGAGCCACCACACTTGGCCATTTTTTACTTTTTAAGAGCAGTTTTAGGTTCACAGCAAAACAGAAAGATACAGAGACCCATATAAGCCCACCTCCCATATCCACAGCCTCTCCCGTATTCATCTTCCCCCACCAGAGGGGTGCGTTTGTTAAAATTAGTGACCCTTCATCGACACATCATAATCTCCCAAAGTTTACATCAGGGTTTACGCTTGTTATTGTACAGTCTATGGGTTTGGACAAATGTTTCATGACACGTATTTACCATTATAGTAACATACAAAGTATTTTCATTGCCCAATCAATTTCATTCTTTGTAAAAGACTTGTCTTCAGAGAACAGTTCGTACTGCAGATTCATCGAAGTAGCATGTGGAGGGGGAAGAGCTGTTCAAGTTTGAGTTGAATCTAGTGAATCTGAAGAAAACAGACCCGACCCTTGAAGATTTTCCTATCTTTCTCTCTCAGGGGACCAGTCAGCCATCAATGAACTCATGCAGATGAGATTGAGGTCTGGGGGCACTGAGGGTCTCTTGGCTGAAAAATTGGAGGTAATCTAGTATGTACATTTTTGTGAAAAGTCGTGGGTTGGACAAAGTCCAGAAGAAGGAGTAATTTATAATCCCCTAGGGATATTTGATATTGATATACGTATATTTGTATCTGTATTACAAAATATCTACATTTGCTAAAAATTTTAACAAAAACCTTTTTTCAATTAACACTTTAAGTATTCAATTTTTTTCTTTTTTTTTTTGAGACGGAGTTTCGCTCTTGTTACCCAGGCTGGGGTGCAGTGGTGCGATCTTGGCTTACCGCAACCTCTGCCTCCTGGGTTCAGGGAATTCTCCTGCCTCAGCCTCCTGAGTAGCTGGTATTACAGGCACGCGCCACCATGCCCAGCTAATTTTTTGTATTTTTAGTAGAGACAGGGTTTCACCATGTTTACCAGGATGGTCTAGATCTCTTGACCTCGTGATCCACCTGCCTCGGCCTCCCAAAGTGCTGGGATTATAGGCGTGAGCCACCGCGCCTGGCCCAGTATTCAGTTTTTTTTTTTTTTTTTTTTTAGACAAAGTCTTACACTGTCACCTAGGCTGGAGTGCAGTGGCGCAATCTCAATCTCAGCTGACTGCACCCTCGACCTCCCGAGTTCAAGTGCTTCTCATGCCTCAGCCCCTGCCAAGTAGCTGCGACTACAGGCGTGCGCCACCACACCCAGCTAATTTTTTAAATATTTTTAGTAAGCACAGGGTTTCACCATGTTGCCTATTTATTTTATTTATTTAAAACAAATAGAAATTGGTGGCCGGTGGGGTGGTTCACATCTGTAATCCTGGCACTGTGGGAGGCTGAGGTGAAAAGTTCACTTGAGCCCAGGCATTCAAGACCAGCCTGGACAATATAGTGAGACCCCCATCTCTACCAAAAAAAAAGTTTTAATTAGCAGGTATGGTGACACACATCTGTATTCCTAGCTACCTGGGAGGCCAAGGCAAGAGGATCACTTGAGCCCAGGAGTTCAAAGTTGCAGTAAGCTGTCTTTGGGCTTACTGCACTCCAGCCTGGGCAACAGAGCAAGTCTCTGTCTATTAAAACAATTAAAGAGGCTGGGTGCCGTGGCTTACTCTTGGAATCCCAGCACTTTGAGAGGCCTAGGCAGGTGGATCACTTGAGGCCAGGAGTTCAAGACCAGCCTGGCCAACGTGCCAAAACCCTATCTCTACTAAAAATACAAAAATAAATCAGGCATGGTGGCATGTGCCTGTAGTTCCAGCTACTCAGGGGGCTGAGGCACAAGAATTGCTTGAACCTGGGAGGCAGAGGTTGCAGTGAGCCTAGCTTGCGCCACTGCACTCCAGGCTGGGTAACAGAGTACAACTCTGTCTCAGAAAAATGAAAGAAAGCAATTGGTATATACTCTTTATGGAGTATAATATGTTGATTCTAGATAGAGGCAAATGATAGATTCCACTTATTTTCACCTCCATCACTCATATCCCCAGTTAAAGTTTTAACTTTTTCAAACTACTTTTCAGGCTTTGATCACTCAGACCCGAGCCAAACAGGCAGCTACCATGAGTGAAGTGGAGTGGAGAGGGAGAACAGTTCCAGTGAAGATCGACAAAGTGCGGATTTTCTTACTGGGATTGGCTGATAATGAAGCAGCTATTGTCCAGGTGAGGTGGAAGAACTTACTGTGCTGTCTTCTGTATGCGTCTGAAGGTTGTCCTTGTGTGTTTAAGATGTAGTGGCTTGTTGGTATTCAGTTCTCATAAACTTTAATGCTGTTTGGGATTTCGTAAGTCTGGAGGTGTAACTTATTGAATAAACTTATTTTGAAAACTGAGTTTATAGAGGAATTCTTAATGTTTAGAGGGCAAGGAAATCGACAGCAACAGTCATTAACATAAATTAGGAGGTATAAGAGGCTGGCTTAAAGTAAGGGCCACCATTTGGCCCAGCAGGTGGTGCAGCAGCTTAACTATTATGTCCCTGAAGTCTCTCTGACATGTTGTCATAGCCTCCTAGCCCTGTCGGGTTCACCTCTTAGTCCTGGGCCTTTGCAAGAGAGCCTGGTTCAACCAGAATGTCTTGTTTTGTGTGTGGTGTACATGCAATATTCACGCAGAGCTGTATCACTTGATACTGGCTACTGACATAATTACCTGTTTGTAGGCACGAATGACCAAATGCATTCTAAACATAAGACAGCCTGGTGATCTTGCTGTGTATGAGGTGGACAGTGATGGGGGCACTTTTTAGAGCTTTTCCACATGATTTAAAGGACATCTTTTAAAAAACAGGCTGCTGACAGTCGACTCCCTCATCAGGGAACAGTGGTATTTCCTAAGACTTCACAGTAATCTTTTGCACCCTGAATAATTTGTGTATGAATTGAAGGGGGCAGCGTTTTGTTAATGTGTTGATGAGTTGGCTTAGGCATCTAAACTTTTCAGTGACTTGCTCCAAAATGGCTACTCTGGGTTGGAGGCAGCTTTTAACAACCGAAGACTTTATGTGTGTCCTTGTCTGTTTCATATTGCCTCTCTCATATCCTTATATCCCTTTTATTTGCTTGAAGGACAGAAGACTAGAACAGTACCAGAAAGTTAATTTGTCCTTCAGCTGAAAGGCTGAGGAACTTTTCTGAGAGCGTTCTGTTGGCACTGTTGTATGGTGCTACCTCCTCAGGACAAGGGCTCTGGTAGCAACCATTTATATTATGTGATTGGGTTAATGCTTTGGTTTAAAGCAGTAAATGCCGGAAGAAAGAAGTCACCTCATCCTCAGTTCAGTGTCCAGCAGCAGACACTGGGGCAGGAATTCTGACTTGAAGAGCAGTTGAAGGAGAGAGATCCGTAGGGGCAAGTTAAATGAGGGCTCTTTCAGAGTGGGGCTACAGACACGTACCAAATAAAAAACAGGAAAAGCTAACATTCGTTAAGTAATTTTGAAAAGTCACTGTTGGCACAGTGGCTAATGCGTGTAATCCTAGCACTTTGAGAGGTGGAGGCAAGAAGATCACTTGAGCTCAGTAGTTGGAGACGAGCCTGGGCAACATGGTGAAACCCCATCTCTACGAAAAAATTTAGCTATGCATGGTGGTGTGCACCTGTAGTCCCAGCTACTTGGAGGCTGAGGCAAGAGGATCACTTGAGCCTGGGAGCTTGAGCCTGCAGCCTGGATAGCAGCATGCAACTCTGTCTCCAAAAAAACCAAAGTTAATAACGCTTAAAGTTTAGAAAATACATTGATGTCTTAAGAAGATCAATTTGGAAAGGGTGGACAGGGGGCGAGAGATAAGAGACTACACATTGGGTACAGTGTCCACTGCTTGGGTGACAGGTGTACCAAAGTCTCAGAAATCACCACAGAAGAACTTATCCATGTAACTAAAAACCACCTGTCCCCTGAAAACTATGGAAATTAAATTTAATTATCTAAAGATCAACTTACAGTCTCACTTCCCATATGCCTTCATTAATATGATGTCATACTGAAAGGAAAGCACTGTTTCCTTTTATTTTTATTTTTTGACATTCATGAGTGTTCTTATGTGGTTTTTTTCCCTTGTTGGAATTATACTAAGGTATAGTTTTGTATCCTGTTTTTTTTGTTTGTTTGTTTTCTTTTGTTTTTTAAATTGAGACAGAGTCTCGCTCTGTTACCAGGCTGGAGTGCAGTGGCCTGATCTCAGCTCACTGCAACCTCCGCCTCCCAGGTTAAAGCAATTCTCTGCCTCAGCCTCCTGAGTAGCTGGGATTACAGGTGTGCACCCCACACACCCAGCTAATTTTTTATTTTTAGTAGAGATGGGGTTTCACCATCTTGGCCAGGCTGGTCTTGAACTCCTGACCTCGTGATCCACCCACCTTGGCCTCCAAAAGTGCTGGGATTACAGACATGAGCTACCTTGCCTGGCCTGTGTCCTGTTTTTATTAACTTGTTGTAAGAATTTTTCATGTTATTTTATAGTTAAAAAAAAATGCTTGTTATTCACCTGGACAGAGACTCCACAGAGATGAGGATGGAAAGTAATGGTCCTCCTTACCCAGATGCACTGCTTAATACTGGTGTCTTATTAACCCTCTGGGGTGGGTGTTGCTCTCATTTTCCAAATGGGGAAGCTGGTCTCAAGGACACTATAATTTACCCACTGTCATATATTTGATAAGCAATGCTTGACTTTAAAACTATATCCTTTTGACTCCAAAGTTCATGTTTCTGGAACTTTTCCAGAAACATATCATCTTAGATTCATCAGGAAAGATAATAATAGAATTGCTTTATTTGACTTTGGTGAATAGCTAAATGCAGTTTTACTTAACAGAGTATACAAGCAGAGTCCCGGGCCCCTAATAAAGACTGAACAAGCAGGGCCAGTTGCAGTAGCTCATGCCTGTAATCCCAGCACTTTGGGAGGCTGAGTCAGGAGGATTCCTGGAGCCCAGGAGTTCAAGGTTACAGTGAGCTATGATTTTGCCACTGCACCCAACCTGGGTGACAGAGCAAGAGCTTGTCTCTTTAAAAAAGAAAACAAGGGCCGGGTGCGGTGGTTCACGCCTGTAATCCCAGCACTTTGGGAGGCTGAAGCGGGTGGATCATGAGGTCATGAATTCAAGACCAGCATGGCCAAGATGGTGAAATCACATCTCTACTAAAAATATAAAAATTAGCCAGGCATGGTGGTGGGTGACTATAATCCCAGCTACTCAGGAGGCTGAGGCAGAGAATTGTTTGAACCCAGGAGGCAGAGGTTGCAGTGAGCCAGGTCACACCCACTGTACTCCAGCCTGGGCAACAGAGCAAGACTCTGTCTCAAAAAACAGAAAAGAGAAAACAGTATCTTAACTGAAACACATAGTCCTCAGCAGTTGGATCATCTCTGTTTAAGTACATTAGTTGGGCTCCCCAGCTGGGAGGAGTAGGAGGAGGGATGTCCTATAATCCCAGCTACTCGGGAGAATCGTTTGTCCTGGGAGGCGGAGGTTGCAGTGAGCTGAGATTGCGCCATTGTACTCCAGTCTGAGCAACACAGTAAAACTCTGTCTCCAAAAATTAAAAAAAAAAAAAAAAAGTTACCTTTCTCTTGCTTTTTATACATGATGAGAGAATGAAGACTTCTATTGGGATGGGTTTTTTTTTTTCCATGACATAATTCAATTTGGACTAAATTAGACCAAGAGAAGAAAACGTTTTACACCTGCAGGTGAAGCCATTGCTTTCAAAATTGAAGGTCTCACTGGGCGCTGTGGCTCATGCCTGTAATCCTAACACTTTGGGAGGCCTAGGCAGGTGAATCATGAGGTCAGGAGTTCGAGACCAGACTGGCCAAACATGGAGAAACCCTGTCTCTACTAAGAATACAAAAAAAAAAAAAATTAGCCAGGCATGGTGAGAGGCATCTGTAATCCCAGCTACTCGGGAGGCTGAGGCAGGAGAATCACTTGAACCCTGGAGACAGAGGTTGCAGTGAGCCGAGGTTGTGCCATTACACTTCAGCCTGGGCAACAAGAACAAGACTCTGTCTCAGAAAATATAAACATATAGGCACTTCTGCACACAGGTTCAGAGCTCTTCACTCCGGACCCATTTTATGCAGTCCAGGGTTCTATGATGAGGATAAGTCAGAATCAGTAACCAAGGTTTTGTGCCCCAGCTGCTGAATGAAGTGGTTATTCATTCAGATTGTGTTGTTAAGAAACCTGACTGTGCCAGTAAAAATCGTGATATGCAGGCATAGTAGGAATATTGTAGGGGTTTTTTTATTTCAAATGGAGTCTCTCTCTATCACCCAGGCTGGAGTACAGTGGCATGATCTCAGCTCACTGCAACCTCCACCTCCCAGATTCAAGCAGTTCTCCTGTCTCGGCCTCCTGAGTAGCTAGGACTACAGGCACCTGCCACCATGCCCACCTAATTTTTGTATTTTTAGTAGAGATGGGGTTTCACTATATTGGTCAGGCTGGTCCCTAACTCAGGTCATCCAGCCGCCTCAGCCTCCCAAAGTGCTGGGATTATAGGCATGAGCCACCACACCCAGTCTGTAGGGGCTTTTATTTTATTTTATTTATTTTTTGGAGATGGAGTCTCACTCTGTCACCCAGGCTGGAGTGCAATGGCACTATCTCGGCTCACTGCAACCTCTGGGTTCAAGCGATTCTCCTGCCTCAGCCTCCCAAGTAGCTGGGATTACAGGTGCATGCGATCGCGCCCCCCTAATTTTTTTTGTATTTTTAGTAGAGACGGGGTTTCACCATCTTGGCCAAGCTAGTCTAGAACTCCACCCGCCTCCACCTCTGCCTCCCAAAGTGCTGGGATTATAGGCGTGAGCCACCAAGCCCAGCTTTGTAGGGGCTTTTAATTGCTCTTCCACAAGAGACAGTGGAGTGTTTGAAGGGTACATGAGTTTAAAAGATTGGGAGGAACCATATGAGGACAGTTTGAGATCTTCTGATGTGGAAAGAAAAAGGCCGAAGGAGGAAGAAACCTGTTAACATAATGAATTACACTGATGAATTTTCACTGTTTACCCAGTCTTGCATATCTGAGTTAAGCCCACTTGGTTATGATATAGTATACTTTTTATATATTGCTGGATTTTATTTGTCAACATGTTAACAATTTGTGCACTTATTTATTTTCATGGGGAATGATAACCTATAATTTTCTTTCT